GGGATGGTTGGAGAAAAAAATCATTGGCAGGCAGTGCTTTAAAGTTTGGCGAGAGGTGACATGTTTGTGTGCGGTTAAAAGTTTTAAAAGATGAGACTTGGTGGGGGTGGGATCACTGCGGGGAGCCTGAAGAAGGGGAGGGAGGGAGAAAAGGGAAAGGGGTATAATGGAAATGTTGGATTGTTAAAATACTGGACATGTTGATATATCCTGATAATAAAAATGTTTTTTTTAAAAAAAAAAGTTTGAAAAGATGCATGCCCCTAGGAGGAGAGGCTTGGCCAGAGAGGCAGCAGGGAGGTTGCTTTGTGGCACCTTGGTGGAAGAGGTTCATGAGGAAGAGAGGTGGAGACAACAATGCTTCATAGCCTGAACTCCCCCCCCCCTCCAGTGTTATTTGGAAATGAGGTGACAGGCAAAGGGGGAAAACCAGATGTTGAAATGGACCACTCGTTGTTGTTTTTTTTAAAAAACTGGCATTTGAAACATTTGTGGTCAGAGTCAATTTGAAAGAAAATCCTTCCGGTCTGGCTCCCGCGCATGGCGGACGCTTCCTCAGGTCGCTCCCGAGGGTGCCTCGCCCGCCTATTAATTACAATCAGTGGTCTAGAAAACAGACAAACATTCTAATCGGGTTAAAAATACCCCTATGAGTCGCTCTTTCGGCCGAGAGGTCGGAGAGCGAGGCTCCCGCCATGCTCTGCCCCAATGGACCTTGCTGGGTGAGCGCCCCCGAACGGGGTTTAGCGGAGCCACCAGACGTCACCGAGTGATAAAGCGACCATCCGCAAAAATGGAAAAGAAAAAGAAAAGATCGGCTTAACTGTGAGTTGTCAAAATGCAGAGAAAAAGAACTGAAAATTGTTTCCCCCCCCCCTCCCAGCGAAAAAGGCGAAGAGGTTAATCCTCCATCTATACAAGCGAAAAAGAAAAGGAGGGGGGGGATGAATTGAGCGGACAGTGATGTTTTCCTTTGATGTATTTGAAAGCGAGAAACTTGTCTCTCTGGAGCACATTTTAAGAACTTTCTAAAAGTAAACAAAAAAGAAAAGATGTCGGAGCTGGGCAAAAGCGAGCGGAGAAGGAGGGAGGGACTTCCGTCTGGGCGTTGGTTTGTGTGCAAGAGCCGGCGGTTGAATGTATGGACTGTTTATGGCTGTGAATCCGACAGGAGTTTTGCAAAAAAGATAAGTTGGAATTGTGACAGCGAAAAGTGCCTGATAAGCGCTTATAAGTCAACAATTGCGAGGAGGACCCATAGAGAGTCTGGGAGCGAATATAAAAGCGAAAATGAAATTGATACCATTCTCGAAAATGGGGACCTCCGAGGCATGAAAGGAAGAGGATTTATAGTACATGAACTGAGCGTATTAACAACAACCCGAAGGAGGATCTAACAAGCCGGAAGGAAGACAACAGAGGAAGCTCCTCCACGTTAGCGATAGTAAAAGTACCCAGCACGCAAAGAAGCGGTTCTGAATGTGCACAGAGGAGACCCTTTTTATTAACAGAATCTCAAAGGAACATTACTAACATACTAACAGAGAATACATGTAACAGGACTAAGAAAAGAAGTTTGGCAACACACAGAAGAAGCCCAAGAAGATTAATTGGACATTACTAAGTTTAATTTACCAGTTTATATATCACTCAGCTTTCTCTTTCTCCCGCTGTCTACCCCTCCCTTTTTTTCTTTTAAGCGAAATACCTCCCCTTTTTAGGGGAGCCAATAAAACCTTTATTTTAAAAAAAAAATTGAAAGAAAATCTTTTCCCCAAAAAAACAAACTTGCCCAAATGGGGAATCAAACAACACCCTTGCAGTTAGTAGCACTGCATTCTAACCAACTGACCTAACTGGCCATTCCTGCAAACAAGTCAGACAAAGGCAATGACTTTCCTAATCTCCTATTTCAAAAAACACGCCCAGGGCAAAACTGACCAATAAGGAGAGACCAACTGGCCTTCGAGGGGAGGGGGCGGAAGAGTCAGAGAGAATGTGTATTCAAGGGGGGGAATCATCACAAAAGCAGTCTGAGAAAACCTGGGGAAACAGAAAACTGAAAACGGACTCAGCACTGGGGGGGGGATACAAGCAGAAAGAAAAACAAAATGCAATTGGACTGTGCGGGGGCATGGAGAAGGGGAATAAAGACCCAGTGGGGATGCACAGTGAAAGTGAGGGGAATGGACGTGCATTAAGGGCCTGGGAATCTCTCCATCATGGCCTGACACATCTATTTTCCTTCTCTCTGCCTTGTTTGTTCTGTTTTACTTCATCAGGAATATCCAGCCTTGTGAAACGTTTCAGAGAACTTAGAAGCCTGCACACTTTTTGTTATAATTTGGTCTTTCCAGGGCCGGCTCCAGGTTTTTTTGTACCCTAGGTGAGGCTACCTTCTGGCGCCCCCCCCCCATGTGCCCACCAATTACAGGGTTGCCAACCTCCAGGCAGGGCTGCGGCAACTGACCTGCCCATGGGGCGCCTGTGCCCGCAGGAGTTTTTTGGGGGGGCAAAGCCCAGCGGGGAGGGGGGGGTCGTGTGGAGCTGCCAGCTGCTCCCAGGAGGAAGTGGGGCGGTGATGTTCTGGCACATCCCCCCCAGGGCATTGCCCAGCTGCCACCCCCTCCAGGTGGGGGGAGCGAGGAGGCGGCCAGCGGCTCCCTGGGTGCCTCGGCTGGGAAAGGGTGTGTGCAAAGGAGACCGAGAAGAGGGCCCCTCCCTCGTCCTCCCCCCTCCCATGCCCAGATGGGCAGGGGCACCCCTTGGCAGTTGGCCCTGTGTCCCTCCCAGCTGCTCCACCACACCTGAGGCCCCGCTTGGCTCCAGATGTCGAAGGCGGAGGGATGCCTTAAGGAGACTCCTCATAGTAGTTCGACAATGGCGTGACCAGGCTGCCCAAATGGAAGGGATCGCTGGAAAGTCCGGACGGCCTGGCTGGCCAGCTCTCAGGGAAGCGCAGTCCAGAGTCGGATCCACAGGCCTCCTGCGGCAGTGGCGGGGGGGAGACGAAGGGGGGAGGGAAGGCCAAGCCTTCTGCAAGGAAAGTGCAGAAGTGAGCAAGCTGACATTCGGCAGTGCAGCAGCCTGGCCGTGCGAGTGGACAGCAGCAGTCATCCACTGGGGAGAGTTCAGCCAGCCAAGGAGTTCCAGGGAGAGTTCAGCTGGCCAGGCAGCGGGGAGCCGGAGGGTCTGGGCGCATCAATGCTTTACGGGCAGGCCATGGCAGCCGCGGCAGGAAGGAGGGAGAGAGGCCGGCTGGGACGCTTGGCTTGGCGTCACTGGGCAGTGAAGAGCAGTGGTGCTGTGGCTCGGGGCCGGTGGAGGAGGTGCGCGCATGGCAGTGGGCGATGGAGGAAGGGAGGGCACACAGGGCATGGATCCGGTGCCCCCATGATGGCCCCGTGCTCTAGGCGAAAGTCTAGTTCGCCTAGTGAGTGAGCCGGCCCTGGGTCTTTGCTGTTCAAAGATGTTGTTGGGGGATTTTTCTGCAGCTACATACACTTCTTGGAATTTTTAAATTTGTAAATGTTGGTGAGTGTAGCACTTTAGAATACTCAAATTTGAACTCAGAACCAGTATTCTTCTGATCCCACCCCAGGAATGGGGAAGACTTCTCCTCTGTGCCCAGCCAGGAGGGGTCCAGAATGCCCTGTGAAGGGAACAGAAGCCCCAGGGTCTACCAGGGACATAGTCCGGATTGCATGGCCTCAGTGCCTCCCTCACTTTCCAGCCTCAGGAAATCCCGTCCCCTGGGAGAGTGCCACCACCCTCCCAAACTCGCCCTTGCAGTAGCTTGCTTTTGCCAGCTGAGCAAAGTGGGTTTTCATCGTTGCAATCCTTAAACACACCTACCTGAGCTGAGAGTAAGCAACACTGAACACAGGAGGCAATTTTGTTCTGAGTAGACCTGAATAGGATTGTGCTGCAACTCACTTCAGCAACCCCATGTTAGGCTGAGGGGCATAAAGAGAGGGGGTCACTATGGCAGTTTCCCCCCCCAGCACCATTCTTGCTTCCCAGTTCCCTGGTGAAAACCGTTTTTCAGAATGGGCCTGAATGTTACATTTCAAAATTACAAAGATCATGTCCAATTATGATTCTAAAAGGTCCCCGGATTTCTACTCTGTTAATTGTTTCCATCACGTGTAGAAAGCATATGGTCTTGGTGGTGTAACTTTTCTTCTCAAGCCTGATGGCTGCCTGTCTGTTGTTACTGGTTTTTACGACCTCAGATTCACTCTCCACCAATACATTCAACCTTTCAATATCTGGGAACTTACCTATACATAGTAACATTATGGGCATGACTCTGTGGAAGGAAAGAGATCTGGTCACCATAGCAAGATGTGGGATTAGGCCCAGCAAACAAAACCCCATAATTGTCCACTGATCTATAATATTATATTCCCATCACCATACTGCAAAAAGCTTCATCTGCAGATGTCAGCAAAGAAACCAGCACAGGAGTGAGCTAAGCTGGTTTTCCCAATCAGTTGGCAACTCACAACCAGATACCCTTCCAAATGGGCATTAGGAAGCAAGAGAAGATGGCTACAGGGGAGAGTATATAAACCACCCATCACAGCACTTGGATAACAGATGAAGCTGTTAAGGGGGGCAGGACAATGATATTTCAAGGGCAGGAAGTGAGTCTCTGTCTTTTTCCAGACAATCTTGCTCAAAATATGGACCCAGAGGATGTGTTCCTCAGTCCAGGGTCTGCAAGGACAGAGATGTGTTAAGCTCAGGCCAAACATGTACCTGAAGAGCCACAAACAAATAAAGTCCAGTCCCTCTGAGTTCTACCAGTGCCCGCCTACTGTGAGCCTGCCTGCCAATCAGAGGAGCTGCTGTTTCACAGTCTTTTTCTTGTTGCACGGGGAGAAGGGACATATGGCTCTAGGGTAGCTGTTAGTGCTTCATCTCAGCGTTGGATCCTGACGTTCCTGGCCTTCATCCCCGGCTACCTCAGGGCCAAATGAGATTATATGTTTTTGTGGCAAGTCAGGTGCAGATGGAAGGACCCACTTTGCTTTTCCCCACAGCCACACGCCAGCTGCAGGGAATGTCATTTTAAAAAATTGGTAGGAACTCAATTCACCTCAAAACTGTGATGTGGGGAGAGGAGGGGTCACTGCCTCCCTACCCTCACTTTACTAATCCACAATGCCCCAGCAGGGAGTTATCTGCATAAAATTAGAGCTATACGCTGAGTATTCCTTGCACACACAGCTCCAAAGCTGTTCAAATAACTTTCAACGGGGCCTGTTTAGACGCAGGAAAATGGCATGGGGGGGGGGGGAGGCAGGAGCTCTTGTTCTATGATGCAGTTCTGTGCTGAATTGGGCTCTCTCCTGTTTTTAAAATAACATTCCTCGCAACTGCTGGGTGGCTGCTGGGAAAGGATGCTCAGGCCACGGAACTCAGACCAGACTCATCAAAAAACACATTGTGTAGTTTGGCCCTCTGCAGTAAAGTGGAGCAGTATTCCTCCAACCTCTGTAGCTTTTCAGTGTAAGATTAGACTCCATATTTTGCTCATATGAGATGCCTTTTTCTTTCCTTTTTGAAAATTTTATAAGAATACAAAAGATGCATAAGAATACACATAAAGGATGAAATATACATGAAGAATAGGCAGTACTATCATCACATTCCCTTAATAGAAGCGAAAGTTTGCAGTTACTTAATACCTATCATACCTACAAGCTGTCTTAAGCTTAAAGCATAATTTCTTGCCAGGCATTAAGAGGACTGTAATGCCATCTATTTGGCAGTCTGATCCCATTCTCTTTAGCCCCCACATTCCTAGAGAAGTTGTAAATGGCTTTATGAAACTTGCACCATTCCTGTGTGAGCATATGAATGTCTTTTCTGGTCAGGGAGACTTGCCTTAGCAGGACCAGCTCCTCCTGTTCCTCCCAGCTATTCATATGACCAAGAGAATCTATTCTCATGTCATGGGTCTTTATTTCCTTCAGACAACATCTCTTACCTGCTAGGGGTGTAGAGATTATTTGGTTCACATCAAATCCCAGAGTTCCAGCAAGTTCACTGAATTTTGTTTTCACATCATCTGATGCTTCTCGTGTTCTGCCTTGAGGCCCAAGGAAAGAGTCTTGTTGAAAATAATGATGAGGGTAGAAGGACCAACCAATACGCTTTGTATTTGAACCCTTTCATCTGTTCTGCCCAAGGCCCCCAGTTGTGTCCTCTCTGCTCAGTTGGTTGCCTGGAGAAGCTAAGGGGGGTTAACAACTGGATAGTAAGGCCAGCCTATTTCCTCCTCCAATAATTCCAATACAGTCTGCAGGTGGGAGTGAGGAGGTTCCCCTCCTAGCTTGATCTGCAGCACATTTTCTCTCCAGCTGACCATTGGAGAATGAGATATCATTAAGAACTGGGATAGTGTTCTAGCTGGATTTGGACCGAGAAGTTCAAATCCACGTCCAGCCATGAAGCTCACAGTAAGCTTAGTTACAACCAAACTACATGCAAATTCATGTAGCAATGCCCTGCACACTTTTTTATTTTAAAAAGGAAACATTGCTTCATTATTGCGGTGCAGGGGAGGATGGGCTAGAAGTCCAATAAAAAAATAAACCAACAATAAATGCTCACATCTCAGTTCCAAAATTTGCCTCTTCTGTATCCTTTTCCCTTCCTTTTTAAGATGGGGGGGGGGCTCTCATGTACATTTGATTTTAAACTGTAGTTAGTTCTCTAGGGTACACTACCTTTCATGGCGGGTGCATGTTTGTCACAAAAATACTTGGGGAAACACCTGGCCACTGTTGTGATCTATATATTGATACATATCCGTGCACTGCCATTGGAATCCCCCTACGGTAAGAAGCAAAGGGAGTTTGAAGCCTGTCCTCAGACAAACCTTCTGTGTAATTCTGAATGGAGCGAAAAGAGTTTCAATGATGCTAACAAAAACCATAATTTGTGTGTGTGTGTGCCATTACAGTAAATAGGGGGTCTAACTATGTATCCTATTATGAACTCTTTGGATGAAGAGCACAGGTTTTTTTAACCATCAAAATGTAGTTTTCAAAAATTTTCATCTATACCCAACACATTTTCCTGTCCCATCCACAGCCAACATGCCCAGTTTCATCAGTGTTTCATCCATGACACTTACTTAGGAGATACAGGCTATAGGTATCCCCATTTGTAACATGCATAATATGGTAACTTCCATAATCTACATCCACCATATGTACGATTTCAGGGGAATCTGAAACAGAAAACACCCATTACATACAGACATCTCAATTCTCTTCACACAGCTTCCCCATTCTGCCATATGTTTTGCTGCTAGTAAGTTACTTGTCTTGAGTATTGGTCCCGATTGGAAGATTGTGATATAATTGTGACCGTGAAGAAGATCTGGAAAGAGCTTGGGATGCATGTTGTTGCTTCATCTACATTTTGAGAGTCTTCAGAGACTGTCGCTTCATGCTGTACCTCATCATTCATTGAGTTCTTAGAGACTGCCGTCACTCGATCGGCTTGTCGGCTTGAATGGATTTCATTCATATTTAGTCTGGTTGCTATTTCAATGTAAGAGGACTGTATTGTGTCAATTTCTGTAGTCTAAAAGAATGCCTTTGGTATGTTCTTATAGTATATTTATTATTGAATAGCGTTTCTTCAAAACAGAGACATATTTATTGCTTTTCTGTTTTGTTGATATCATAGACTGTGGGTTCCCCTTGTTTTGTGTGGTATACGGGAAGTGACAATGCCCCAAGGGAGGGCGGGAGGCAGAAGGCACGGGGGCTTCTTGGTACAGCTGACAGATGTGAGGCAATCCCAGAAGCAGTTCCATCCTTGACCAACAGTAAACAGACGGCAGGAAGCAATATTAACAGGATGCAAGACCAACCCTTTCTTTTGTCTCCTTGAGAAGCAGGGAGGGACCGACTTAGCCACGGCCCGACTTCTGCAGTGCCAAGTGGGGGAGCAGAGTTGTGCGGAGGCTGGGGGCAGGCAGGGCGTAGAGCGGCAGGAAAATTGGGCCGTCCCACTCCCCCAGGGACAAATTGCAGGGTCCCAAAGTGGCTGGGGGTGGGCTGTCACAAGGGGAAAGGGCTGGCTGCTCACCCACTGCCCCCATTCTTTTGTCTGGCCCCGGAGCAGTTTGCCCATGAACCTTCAGGCATGGCCAGCGTGAAAGATAGTGGTTCAGGGGGCAATTTGATTTTGAATGTTGTTCATAGTTACGTAGCTATTGTAGCCAAGTTATGTTGTTTTCGACTATTATCTGTGCTTTATTTCTAGTCTCAACATTTGGCGGTAACAGCATAGGGCCAGATCCATTTATGGGAATCGGCCTGCATGCTGTTTCCTAGATATGGTGACCCCTTAAGGGGTCTTGGCATGAAAGCATATGGGAGCTCTTGCCCTCACAAGCAGATGGCAGGGGAGAGCACACTGTCTCAACATTTTCAGTGGTTATCTACTACGACTCCAAGATCTCTCTCTTGGTCAGTCTCCACCAGTTCAGACCACATCAACGTGTATTTATAGTTAGGAGTTTTGGCCCCAAAGTGCAACACTTTGCACTTGGCCACATTGAACCCTATTTGCCATGTTGTTGCCCACTCGTTAATCCTCAACAGATCCCTTTGGAGTGCCTCACAATCCTCCCTGGTTCTCACCACTCTGAACAATTTAGTGTCATCTGCAAATTTAGCCACTTCACTGCTTACTCCCAACTCCAAATCATTAATGAACAAGTTAAAAAGCTTCAGATCCAGTACTGAGCCCTACAGTACCCTACTGCTTACCACCCTCCACTGTAAAAATTGCCTATTTATACTCACTTTCTGTTTCCTATTAATTAGCCAGTTTCTGATCCACAAGAGGACTTGTCCTTTTATCTCGTGACTACTGAACTTACTTAGGAGCCTTTGATGAGGAACATTATCAAAAGCTTTTTGGAAGTCAAGGTAAACAACATCTATTGGGCCCCCCTTGTCCACATTTATTCACCCCCTCAAAGAATGCTAACAGGTTAGCGAGACAAGATGTTCCCTTATAGAATCATGCTGAGTCTTTCTCAATAGTTTTTGTTCATCAGTGTGCCTACTAATTCTCTCCTTAATAACGATTTCCACCAACTTACCCGGTATTGACGTCAGACTGACTGGCCTGTAATTTCCCGGATCTCCTCTGGAACCCTTTTTAAAGATGAGGGTGACACTAGCTACCTTCCACTCCTCAGGGATGGAGGCAGATTTTAAGGAAAGATTATATATTTTTGTCAGGAAATCCACAAATTCACATTTGAGTTCTTTCAGAACTCTTGGGTTTATGCCATCCAGGCCTGGTGATTTACCAGTTTTTAAATTGTCTATCCGTTATAAGACCTCCTCTCTCATCACCTCAATCTGACTCAGGTCTTTCAACAGCCCTCCTGAAAACAGCAGTTCTGATGTGGCAAGCACTTCTCATCTTCCACAGTGAGGTAAAGGTAAAGGTTCCCTTGCTCGAAAGCCAGTCCTTCCCACTGAAGTGGTACCTATTTATCTACTTGCAATTTCTTGCTTTCGAACTGCTAGGTTGGCAGGAGCTGGAACTAGAGATGGGAGCTCACTCGTCCAGCAGCACACCCTAGTCTCGAACTGCTGAACTACCAACCTTCCACAGCCTGCAGTTCAGCGTCTTAACCACTTGAACCACCGCAGCTCCTCTCCACAGTGAAAACAGAGGCAAAAAATGCATTCATCTTCTCAGCCATTTCCCTATTGTCCTTCAGTACTCCTTTTACCCCTTGGTCATCCAAGGGCCCCACTGCCTGCCTGCCTGCCTGGTTTCCTGCTTCTAACGTATTTGAAAAAAAAATATTGTTGGTCTTTATGTTTTTTGCAATATGTTCCTCATAGCCTCTTTTTGCCTATCTGATCACAGACTTGCATTTTATTTGCCACAGCCTGTGTTCCCTTTTATCAACCTCACTGAGACTAGCTTTCCATCACTTAAAGGAATTATTTTTACCTTTTACATCTTCCATTACTTTGTTTGTTAACCATGCAGGCCTTTTTCTATACCTATTTGCTCTTTTCCTAACCTGTGGTATTTATTTTATCTGAGCTTCTAGGATTGTAGTCTCCAAGATTCCCCAATGGTTTTGACTCTTTCACTTTTCCTTTCAATTTCCTCTTCACATGTCCCCTCATTTTAGAGAAGTTACCCCTTTTAAAGTTAAAAGTAGTTGTGCTGGTCTTTTGGGGCAATTCCCTTTTTATACAAATGTTGATCTCAATAGCATTATGGTCACTGTTCCCAAGCGGTATGATCACTTTTACATCTCTCACCAGGTCTTGGGCATTACTTAGGACCAAATTCAGGATCGCCTCTCCCCTGGTCGGTTCTCTGACCATCTGCTCCATAGCACAGTCATTGATGAGAGTGTCAAGAAACTCAATCTTGTTGCAGTTGTTCCCTTCCTTTTGGTTCAGTCACCATTTGCAGACAGTTGATGGACTGAGACTGGCACTAGGGAAATTAAACCGGTTCATTTTTACACCCATATTTCTCATGGTCATCTCTGATCCAAGAGGGTTAAAGTGCAAAAGTCTGCCAAACCTATTGATCAGACACAAAAATAACGGGCCTGTGCACTCGACAAATGGCAATACCTCTTCCAAGCTGACTTTGTCTCCCTGGAAATGTCACTTATCTCTCTCCATTCTGTAAGTGACTCATACTTACCAGGGACTGTGAATACACCAGGCTGGTCTGTGTGCACTATGTTAAGATCAGTCTCTTGACATGCTCCTTCGCTGAGGGAAGAAAGGGAAAAACAGTTTTTTTCTGTTGTAAAAATTGTTAAAAGTGTTTAATACTCAGACTGTCAATGGATCTTGCTCTATTGGAAAGAAGAGATTTCTTTGCTGGGACCTGGAGACTTGAAAGCAATCAGCTCGGCTTTCCTCAGAGCTCCACGCGTAGAAAAAAAATTCAAAAAACTTTCTCTCAGCTGCTTTCCAAAGTGCAGGCTAGCATAAGGTGGGATCCTTCTAATCAGCGAGGATCAAAAGTACTCACACCTTTTCTGGCTGCAGCTCTGTTTGGCAAAGAGCAGAAAAAATGTTCCCTTTTAAAATAAGCCTCTACTGCTAGCCTAGCTGTCTCTCTCTCTCTCAATCCAATGAGCATTTAAAAAACAAACAAACCGCACTCTGCTACCAATTTGTTGTAAAAATTGTTAAAAGTGTTTAATACTCAGACTATCAATGGATCTTGCTCTATTGGAAAGAAGAGATTTCTTTGCTTTTAAAAACCTTTATTTCTAAGGGGAAAAGGTACACAGGATTACTACAAATAAAGAGAACTCTAACAGCTACATTTTCTAAGCTGTCTATAGTCAAAACTAGCACACAGATAATGGAGAATCTGTCATTCTTCTCGACCCCTAGAAAGGAAGTCACCTGAAAACAAACAACCAATCTGTATCACAGTAGAAGCTACTTTTCCTGGGCTAATTCCCCATTGGCTCAATGCCAGGTATCCCTTCCAGGTCAGTCTAAACAATAGCAATACTAGGCAAACAAGTTAACCCTGTAATGCCTGGATTGTCAGACCTTGTAAACACATACATTTCCAACAATTTCCACATAGAGATGATGATGATGATGCAAATGCAGAGGCATCCACCATGGCAATGACTAGCAACATGGAAGTTTCCCCCCACACTTTCCTTGCCACTGACTTCTCTTACTGCCCCTCTCCTCCAATGCTGGTGGGCTTTTCCAGGCTTTTAAAAAATGAGCCATAGAAATATCACTGTGTGAAGGAATGGTCTCAGAAGACCCATTCCCTTGTGTCCCAGGAGCCTGGCAAAGCCTCCCAGCTGCCCCAGATCTCTGCCTTATGGCACCACCCCTTTCCCTCCCTTCTTGAGTATAACAATTACACTCCTGGCATGTATTAACTGCTGCCGCCAACAAGTCAGCTGGGCTGAGGCAAGGAGTGGAGAGCACACGGTGAGCTGCTGCTAGAAGGTAAGGGGTTTTTTTTCCCCTCCGTTTGCTTTCCTAGCTGCTGAGTGGGAACCTGAGAGTGAGTAGGGTTCTTTGTAGCCTGATAGAGAATGGTTCTGTTTAATTTCTGTGTGTGGCTGTTTGTGTTTTGGGGGTTGTTGGAGGCTGAGTGAGTTGCTGTGGAGTGCTGTTGATTGCAAGCCCCACCCCCTGCTGTGCTGTGCTGTGCTCTGCTGTGCTTGGCAGGAAGTGGCCTTTCAAAACAAAAGGCTGCTCCTTGCTGAGGTGTGAGCCTTTGGCACGAACCAAAGAGTTCTTAGCCTGTGGGCCTTAGCTGGTGGGTCTTGCTTGCAAGCCTTGTAAGAATCTGAGAAGAGGGCTGCTGCTGAGTTCTGGAGAGAGAACTGCTGGCAAGGTAGCCATTTGGTCAGTCTCATAGTTTTTAGGGTACATCATCACAACAAGACTATGTCAGACTTTGAGGGAAGTTCCTGGAGGCTGTAGAAGGCTGTAGAAGATAGCATTGCTCCTAGGGAGATGGGTAACAAAGGATCTATTCCAGTGACCTGCCCGGGTTGCACCATGATAATTTTTCTGCCTTGCCAAGAAATGCATTATACATAGTGCAAGTGCAGGCTTATAAGAATGGTTGAGGAGAAGGTGGGAGAACTCGAGGGACAAATCTGTACACTGTGGAACATCAGGGAGGGAGAAAGGTTGTTAGACATGACGGAAGAGGGGTTCCTGAGAGAATGGCAAGAGCTGGCAAATCCTATTTATTCAATTTTTATCCCTCCGTCCCTGCTGCGGGCAGGCTCAGGGCGGCTTACAATAAGGATTAAAAAAAACATTAAAAGGGGAAGGAAGCAAGAGGAAGGAACAAGGAACAGGTGGGTGAATGGAAGAATGTGACATTGTGGAGTAAGATAATCAGGAAACACTCACAGCCAGTGGAGCTGCAAAATCACTACCATCCACTTCTGATGGTGGGAGATCAGAATAGCACACTCCGAGATCCCAAGGATGTAACTGACACACAAACACGTAGGCAGAGAAGGAACCAAGCTATCCCGCGGAGGAAGAGATGAATAGTGGTGGTTGGTGACTCCCTACTGAGAGGGACAGAAGAAGTTGTGTGCAGACTGGACAAGGAATCTTGAGAGGTTTGTTGTCTTCCTGGAGTGTGTACCCAAAACGTGACTAAGAGAATTCCAAGACTGGTCAAAACCTCTGACCGCTACCCGCTCCTTCTGATCCATGTGGGAACAAATGATATGGCCCAAAGAAACCTTGAATGGATCTCCAAAGACTATGAGGCTCTGGGCAAGAAGGTGAAACATCTGGGGGCACAGGTGGTGTTCTCCTCCATTTTACCTGTTGAGGGCCATGGAGCTGGAAGGGAGAACAGGATACTGGAGGTGAATGGCTGGTTACGTAGATGGTGCCATCGAGAGAGATTTGGCTTCCTGGACCATGGTATGTACCTCCGACATGAGGGACCGTTGGCGATGGATGGGCTGCACCTTACAAAGAATGGGAGGAATGTCTTTGCTGGAAGACTTGTGAACCTGATCAGGATCCCGTGGCTGGAAATGCTGAAGGGGAAATCTGCACAGGAAGGATGGAAGATACTGAAAAAAGAAGTGCTTAAGGCACAATCGCAAACTGTCCTGGTGAGAAAGAAAGGTAGGAGATGGGTAATGAAGCCGAAGTGGCTGAACAAGGAACTCTCTGAAGAGCTGAGACTAAAAAGGGAAATGTACAGGAAATGGAAGGAGGGTCAGATTACTGAGGGTGAGTACAAGAAGCAGGCTCGAATCTGTAGGGATGGTGTCAGAAAAGCTAAAGCGCAGATGGAGCTGAGGCTTGCAAGGGATGCTAAAAACAACAAGAAAAATTTCTATGCCTATGTTCATCCGAATGTTGTCCCGATTTTCAAGAAGGGAAAAAAGATGGACCCCGGAAATTACAGGCCTGCCAGTGTGACATCAATACCTGGAAAAATTCTAGAGCAGATTATTAAATGCTCTGTCTGTGAGTACCTTGAATGGAATGAGTTAATTGGTAGTAGCCAGCATGGGTTTATCAAAAATAAGTCATGCCAGACCAACCTTATCTCCTTTTTTGACAAAGTTACTAAAATTGTTAACTCTAGCAATGCTGTGGACATAGTGTATCTAGATTTCAGTAAAGCATTCAACAAAATTTCTCATGATATCCTTGAGGATAAGCTGGTTAAGTGTGGGCTGGATGGTGCAACCATCGGGTGGATTCATGGTTGGTTGAAAAATCGTACCCAACAAGTGCTCGTAAATGGCTCTGCGTCTACGTGGAGGGAAGTCTCAAGTGGAATGCCGCAGGGCTCGGTCCTAGGCCCGGTGTTGTTCAATGTTTTTATAAATGACCTGGAGGAAGACATAGAGGGGATGCTTATCAAATTTGCAGATGACACAAAGTTAGGTGGGATTTCTAATTCTGAAGAAGACAGAGTCAGGATTCAAAATGATCTAGATAGGCTGGAACAGTGGGCTGAGACAAATAAAATGAATTTCAATAGAGATAAGTGCAAAATCCTACACTTAGGTATAAAAAATCAAAGATACAGATATAGAATGGGAGGGACTTGGCTTGACAGCAGCACATGTGAAAGGGATCTAGGTGTTCTGGTTGATCACAAGCTAAACATGAGCCTGCAGTGCAATGTGACTGCGACTAATAACCACTAATAACATCAACATCAATTACTAATTGATCAATTACTAATAACATCAATTACTAATAATATCAACATCAACTAATAACTAATACCAACTAAAATTAATTGCATCATCAACAACATCAACAATACTAACTGAACTGAAGAATACTAACTAAGTATGCTGGACACCAACGGGGTACATTTTTTGGGAACATCCTATCATGGCCACCGGGTTGTTATTGCCACCAGCACTTTATTTTTATTTTTATTGTATTATGAACTATGACTTGGTATGTTCGTAGATTATGATGCTGTACTGTATAAGCATTGTGTTTTAATATTTTTAATCCTTAATGTAAGCCGTACTGAATAAATAAATAAATAAGGACCGGGGCCTGCCACAAACCAAGATGCCAACTCTGTCCCCATATCCACTCTGACAAAACATTAACCAGGTTTAAAAACATGAGCCATATTATCTCAGGTTCATTCACTTGTTCCTTTAGCAACCTTATATATACCATCAGATGTCAGCAACACCCTTCAACTCTACATTGGACAAATAAACCAGTCCTTACTCAAAAGAATAAATGGAAATAAATCTGACATTCAAAACCTCCGCACTCAAAAACCAGTGGGAGAGCATTTTAATCTTCTAGGTAATTCCATTCAAGACCCAAGATTGGTAGTCCTTAAAAAAAAAATCAATGGGAAATTTGAGTGCGAGATTGCTGAATTTGCTGAATTCACAATTTCAGAATAATGGACCCCCAGGGCTGAACAGGGAAATAGGATTCTTATCTCACTACAAATGCTAATTTTCTGCCCCCAAGCATTTTCTCTCTGCTCTAATCAAGCTGATCCCAAGATGCATTGTACTTTTGCATCATTTACTAGCATTCTTTATGACATTCCTCACATCTTCTGAATGAGATAAACAAACTCATAGATCTCCACTGTCGGATGAAGGGAGCTTTGGCTCTGGAAAACGTATACCCTGAAACTCTTATCTTTTAAAAATATTTTTATTATTTTCTCAGGAGAAATAAAGGTGGGATATAGAAGAGAAGAAGGGGAGGGGAAAATATAGATTCATCAAGTTTGTTAAATATTATGAATTATTTCATACAAGTAAAATCAAATGTATTACCCAATGTATTACACAATTCAAATATAGAAAGAATTAATAAAGCATCAATATTACAGAATTTTGGGTTACATTCTCTCTTTAAGGAATAAACCAAAACTCTCCTAAAATTAGCAATAATATATTAAGGATAAAAGAAAATACATCTTTAACAGCTGAATAGACTACTGTTCTAAAAACCTAAATATCGTCTTAATTGTTAATCTAAATCTGAATTATTGTTACTGATTAGTTGCTGTAGATATTCTGGGTTTATATGATTATTTAAATACTAATGGAATACAAAATAAAATATTGAAATTATAATCAATATCTTCATCATCTTTAATGTGATATTCAAATAATTCCAAAACTAAAAAAGAAAAAATTATTCCCATAATATGAGTAATAAGCTTGCCATTTCTGCTGAAATTTATTCAATGGTCTTTTGTTTATATAATTGCTAATTTTGCCAATGTTGCATACTCAGCTAGTTTTTCTTCCCAGATCTCTATTGTAGGACAGTCTTCTGTCTTCCATTTCAGTGCAAATATTATTCTGGCAGCTGTCAACATATATCGAAGTAGGTCTTGTGAGGTTCTATCTATATTATCTGGAAGGATTCCCAGTAACATAGTCTCTGGTTTCATTGGGAATTTAGTTTTAAACTCGCAAGGCAGCTGTCAACATATATCGAAGTAGGTCTTGTGAGGTTCTATCTATATTATCTGGAGGGATTCCCAGTAACATAGTCTCTGGTTTCATTGGGAATTTAGTTTTTAAAATTTCTTGAATTTTTTCATGTATGTTTTTCCAGTATCTTTTCATCTTGATGCAGGTCTACCACATATGATAAAGGGTGCCATCTTCTTTTTTACATTTCCAGCAAGCCCCTTTGTAATTCTTGTCCATCTTACCAATATATTTTGGGTTGATGTACCATTGATAAAACATCTTGTACCAGTTTTCTCTTAATGCTTGACTAGCAGTGAATCTAATACCTTTAGTCCATAGGTTTCCCCAACACTGAAACTGTATTTCCTCACCAAAACTTTTCATCCATTTAATCATGCAGGGTTTAACCTGTTCTCCTTCAGAATATAGCTTGTAAATTCATCATAATGAATGAGCTTTAGATTGTGAGACAATCTTCTCAAAATCAGTCAGTTCATTAACTGCTCCTGTCTTAGTGCAGATATCATTTTTTAATCTAGAAGCAATTTGAAAGTATATCCACCATTGTATCTTCATTCCTTCTTCTGTAATCTCATGCCATGTCTTCATGCCACCTTGCGAGTTTATTATATCACCATAAATTATAAAATCATTGTTTTTCCTTGTATAATTGCTGTAATAAGCATTTATTAGAGACATTATTAGTGGAATTGTAGGGCTGATTCTCTTTTGTAGCATTTCCCAATTTTTAAATAAGCTATCTCTGATTATATGTCTTTTATCCACAGATAGCTAAGTAGTCCATCATTGAGTTTTGAAGATTCTAATTTTATCAGTTTTATTGTTAATTTTATCTTTTATTGAAATCCAAACCAGCCCAGCAGCTTGGTAGTATAATTTAATGTTAGGTATTAGGATTGAAATAAATGATGATGTGGAACAAGGGCTTTTGTCCTCTTTTGGAGCTTTACCCCCAGATGACCAAGATAATCTACTAAATCAGCTTCAAACTCTGTTGGCTTCCCTCAGAGAAATTAAGTTAAACTCCAAACATTCAATGGAACCTTCCCATGGCGGTGATGTTCCTTCTGTAATAAATGAAGAGATTCTAGTAATCCCAAATGGTCCACCACGAAATTCTAATGTTATTCTTCCTAAAATAGATGATGTGGTCTCAATAATTTCAGACACTCCATCATGTGATATTAATATCGCTTCCTCTGAAATAAATGAGGTGATTTTGGAAAACTCAAATGTCCCGCCACAAACCAATAAGCATATTCCCTTAGAGCCAGTAATTATAGTGAATGGAGGTGCGGAGAAGAAATCTGAAGCTCTATACTCAAAGAAACCTCCGCTTGAGGCTACCTCGAATTGACAACCATCAAATGCTCATATTAAAATACTATCGTGGAATATCACAGGATGGAACTGTAGAATGAAAGATCCTGCTGTTAAAACCTATATATCAAATTTCCATATCATTATGGTTCAGGAAACATGGGTCAAAGAGAGCATTTGTCTACCTAGTTTTGTTGTTTTTGAAGTGAATGCTCAACCTAGCCTACACAAAGGTCACACAAAGGCCGGATTAACCTGTTTAATTTCCTCAACACTTAACTGTCTTAGCGTGTCCCAGATAGCTGCTAACCAGAACATATTGGCATCATGGTTGCAATTTTCAATTTATTCTTTGATAATCATTACAATTTACTTTCCCCCTTTATCTGTTCAGAGAGAAATTGAATCTCTCTGGAAGAATCTGAGAGAATTCCTTGATATGGTCATGCAACAATATCATAGGCAGAGTACAGTCACGATTTTTGGAATATTGATATGATTTCTGGAGTGGAAGACATTTCCCCACACACTATCTCACTACATTTGTATAGCTGTTACAAAAAATATACTTTTTCGTAGACTGCAGAGTTTTTCTAAAAGAAGTCTCTAACTGCTTTGTTTGCAGAGCTATCAGGAGAAATGTGTGGACAATACCTTTCCTCTTACAACTCTGCAATAAGAGCTAGAGACTTTTTTTAAAATTGCAATCTGTAAACTAGTAGATTGTTGTAATTGACTGTTGTAGTGTTATAACAGTATATATAGCTATTACTGATTTTTTTTTTAAGTCTGCGAGTGAGGAAGGATGGCTCCCGCAGGGACCATTGCAAGGAAAATGGCACCGATGTGGGCAGGATATTAAAAACAAATGTGCATCATCCCTTCCATATACATCCAAAGGAGCTTGGACTGCAGTCTTTTCAAAAACATCATATCAAAACCAGTCTTCAGAAAGATCACAGCAAAACAGGGGGAAACACAGAAAAGAATTAATAAAGGATGACATCATATGGGTACCACACATGACCAAATATCTGGAGAAAATTCACAAATCAAGCATATTTAGTATAAAAATGTAAAAAGAGAAGGCTTTGGGTACCAAATTAAGTTCAGCTCTGCTGGCAACATCCTTACTTCTTAATTTAATTGTGGAATGCCACCCTCTAGGAAGCAAAACAGTGCTAGCTGGTTTGCTCTTCCAACACACATGCAGACTTTATGAACAGATTGCACTTTCTGAAGGAAGCTGATAATTGCAGTAACACATGGGAACTTACAAAATGAAGCGTATCTTGAGAAGCAAATCTCCTGCGTCAGAAGGCTCCACTACCTCATCAATGGAGGTTACGTCCACCGGCTCATGGTTTCTCAAGACAAATGAATTGGAATACCATGTCCCAGCAAGCTAGAAAGAAGAGCTCAAGATCAGTTTGTTACTCAAGAAAGCCAGAAAGCAAAAAATAGATCTATGATGCAGGCAGGAGCGCACTTGGAAGCTGCAATGATCTTGGGGAAACATGATCACAGTGGCCCTGGGCATGCTTTTGATCAAGTCACGATGGTGAGGAGGCAGGGTGCCTACAAATTCCCTGCCCTATCTATTCTGAGGCTGAGCAAAGCCCCATTCTCAGGAGGCTAAAGGACACTGCAACAGGCTAAAGTGACTCTGAGGACAACCAGCCTAATACCTCCTTCCTGATCTCTCCTAGTATCCTCCAGTAAAGACTGGATCCTGGGTCCTCATGATCTCCAAAGTGTGAGCCCTCTGGCTTCCTGCCACGGCCACCCTCTCTATCCCCAGAGGTGCAAGTTCTGAAACCCCCCACAATCTGTGCTTTGGCCCCACATGTGAGGCCTGCTTGCCCTCTTTCCATGCTCTTCACCACCACTGATCTTGGGAGCTGAGATTCAGTTAAAAACCCCTGACTTGAGAGTGGAATATGGCAGCCAGCAGGGAGGCCGAGTAAGGCTAAGGAGGCACCAGCAATGGAATGAGCATGGAGGGAAAGGGAAACAGGATCGGGCAACCACCTTGGGGCAGAGGGGCTAAGGAAGAGACAGCCGTCCAAGGCAGGGACCCACCAAGAATTTAACCTCAGCAGCCATTTCTTCTGCTGCACACACAATGGTGATGAGCCCATCATCCATTGGCTTTATTTAATTATTTAAGCCATATATTAGCCACCTTATAGCAACTCAAGGTACCTCACAATGTAAAGAATAACAGAACAGTTGCTTGGCTACTGGAGCAGTATGCCACAGAAGTATTACAGAAGTCTTCCAGTTATGTAGTCTTTAAGTGCAGGGATTCTTTGATAAAGATAAAGAAATGGGCTAAAAGTAAACCGGGACCCCGTCAGAGTCTTTCACAAGCTGCACTAAGCAAAAGTATATGCTGTAAAATCTTTCACAAAGTTGTATGGAACAAAAATACATGCTGTTGTTTGTTATTTTTGGTTACTGAAAGAAACAGACTATGTTGTAATTTGTTGTATTGATACAAACAACAAGGATCATATAAGTTACATTGAGCACCAGTGTATTATTCATTAGTAACTTTAAAGAAGAGTCTGTTTATATTGGTTGCCATCTCATGGTATATCTTGTGTTTGTACATGATTTATTTGGAAACATATGATGTAGAAGTTGGTAGCAGCATGTGTCTATTTTCTTCTTCCTTCCAGTCAAACTGATCAGGTCATAAGTCATTATAAATTATAAACTGTTCTGAGTGCATTTCATTGGCAAAAAAAGAAGAAGAAAATTGATGTAAGAAGTAAACAAACAAAATGGGATAGATTTTGTCCCAAGGAGTGCTTTTTTCTATATACTACCCATAACCATGGCCCTAACTTTGATGGCACAGGCTATCTGATCTTGCCATCACCAGAAGTTAAGGGGGGTTGTTCCTGGTTAGTATTTGGATAGGAGATGACCAAAGTCTGGGGTTTGCAAAGTAGAGACAGGCAATGGCACCTGTTCATCTCATCCTTGCAAACCCTACGGGGTCACCATAAGATGCCTGCAACTTGATGGCACTTTCACCTTACTTTGACACTTCATCACCTGTTGGAAACAGTCCATTTCAACGCTGACTAGAATGTGGATAGTCTAACATTACCTTCCTTGCTTCTTCTTTTCTATTTCTGCAATGTTAACACCGGTCTCTTGAACTGCTCGGTTTCTAGCCCTGCTTTAGAACTCTCACTCGTCCCCTAAGCCATTGTCTGATTGTCCACAAAGACATATTTCTGCCAGTTGGCTCATGAACATGTTTGCCATAAGGAATCTAACAATACGTAGGGAGCTCTTGGACCCTTGTTTTGGTTGCTACAGACCAAAATGGCTGTCCCCATGAAGACAGGCAAATAAAGATCTTGGTAAGCTGAAGCCTCCTGTTGGGATTCTTACGTCAGCATCCTGAGGTTTCTTAAATCCTTATTTAGAGACCATTTTGTGATTACCTTTTGGACATCAAAGTCTGGATGTACGGGAATGTCAGCTCCAGCATGGAGCAGGCAGATGGATGCCAATTGAACAATCAACAGTGCCGCTTTCATCCTCACAATGGTCCTCCCTTCACACCAGCTCGGAGTCAATGCTTTCAATGGGCTCTTTAATTCTGGCTCCCTTTAGATCCCTCCTTTTGTTGTCCCATGTTCATGGCCTGATCAAATATAACCCATCTCCAGGAATGAGTTATGCAAAATGATAACATTTAGATAACAAGGTTACTTTCTGAAGTAATGGTTTCTGCACACTCTGGAAGCAAGAGAACATTCTGAACCTTACAGTGCCATTTGACATGGTCGACTACGATCTGGTGACCCACTGCCTCATTGATGTGGAGGTACGTGGGACAGCCTTGAAGTGGCTTGTCTCATTTCTCCACGGTCGGGGACAGAGAGTGGCACTGGGGGAGAGGGTCTCACCATCTTACCCCTAGGTATGTGGTGCCCCTCAAGGAACCAGTTCTCTCCCCAATGTTATTTAACATTTCTATGCAGTCCGTCGCCAAATTGGTGCAGAGTTTCTGAATACCGCCCCAGACATTCTAGCCAAGAGTTTGGAGGCTGTGGTTGGGTGGCTGAAACAGAGCTGGCTGAAATTAAATCCATGTAAGACGGATGTCCTGTGACTGAACTGGGGAGACACCAGGCTGGGGTGCCAACTCCCAGCTCTTGATTACACACCTTTAACACCTATGCAAACTGTGAAGAGCTTGGGCAGGATTCCGGATGCTTCCCTTTCTATGGAGACCCAGATCAGAAATGTTGCCAGACTGGTCTTTTTCAAACTGCATTAGGTCATCGAACTGGACCCCTTCCTGTCTCGCCGTGACTTAGCCACAGGGATCCATGCAACGGTCACCTCCAGGCTAGATTACTGTAACTTGCTTTATGCAGGGCTACCCTTGAAACTGACCCAGAAACTCCAACTGGTCCAGAATGCAGCAGCCCGTGTCCTTACTGGAACACCATCTAAAGCACATATTAATCCGGTGCTCCACCAACTGCACTGGCTCCAAGTTCAAGGAGCTGGTTTTAACCTTCAAAGCCTTACACAGTCTGGGAGCAACATATCTGCGGGACCACCTCTCCAGCTACACCCCCAAAAAGCACAGAGCTCAAAAGACAAGAACCTCCTGATGCTTCCAGGCCCCAAAAAGTATCTGCTTGGCTCAACCAGATCCAGGGCCTTTTTGGCCCTGACTCCGGCCTGGTAGAACACTCTCCCAGATGAGACCCGGGCCCTGCAGGATCTGATGCGTTCTGCAGGGCCTGCAAGATGAAGATGTTCCTCCAGGCCTATGGTTGAGGCAGTGCTAATTCCACCTGGACTGGCCTCCACCTGCCCTCCAGTCCACCCACCTGATTTTACTATCAGTGGTACCATGTGCTGACACGCATGAAGTGATTTTACTGGACAAGAGCTATCAATCGGTGTTACCATCTGCCACTGGATTCAATTACTTAAGCTGAGGTTGTAAAAATGTTTTTTAAAGGTTAATTATACTTATTTTCTTATGTTTTTATGTTTTATATATTGTTGTTACCCACCCTGAGCCCTGCTGTGGAGGGATGGGAGGGCTAAAAGCCAAATTAAATTAATAAACAAAGTTTAGAACTCTCAGGAGGCAACTTGTTAGGAGATATGTCCACAGATGGTTCATGATGGTCTTGTGGCAGAATTTGATATTAAGGGAGATTTGGACATTTATGTATAAGCTACATTAAACAGAATACAGCACGAGTAGACTTTGGTTCTATCCCAGGAAGCACTGCAGTGTGGTTAATGCTGTCTCCTGAAACACAGGCAGTGCCTGGGAGCTGACCTCTGTTTCACACATAGTTTACATTCTCTGAGCCAAAATGTACCATCTTCAAGACAAAACTTATATAGATTATAAGGTTATGAATGTCTCCTGTTGTATCTAATGACTCTTGACCTGCTCAATAACCCTGAAATGGGTAAACGTTCATGATGCCATTATGGGGAAGGGTCTGGTTATTGTTACATTCGTGTTGATGTGTACCCTGCATTCTATTGATTACAAAAATGTGTGTGTGTGTGTAGATAGATGAAAGATAGATAGATAGATAGATAGATAGATAGATAGATAGATAGATGATAGATAGATGATAGATAGATAGAGAAATTGATATTGATATAGATACTGGATATTTCAAGGTACAACACTGCCCCCTGAGAGCTCACATGCGGAGACATCGGATGGCAGTCAAGAGATCTCTTGCCTTTGTTATTTGGGTAATCCCTTTTGGTAAATGCTCTGATCTTTTTCTGATAATTTGCTTAAGAAACAATAAAATAGAACTTAGGGCAAGCGGATGTCTTTTTCTCTTGCTCACTGAGACTTGGTGTCCAGCCAGTCCCATCCTGCCCACTGAACCAAAGGAGAGCTGTGTTCTCAGGCAGAAGCCTGAGGACCATAAAATTTTATTTTCCCCTCAAGAGGTCTGGCAGACCCTTGGATGGTTGGTCAGTGATCAGAAGCTGCAGAGAGCCCTTTGGATGTGAGAAGAAGGATGTACAGACACAGGACATTCTATACAATCAAAGACTTCAGTCCACGCATGTCATATCAGATATAGGTGGAATTTATCCAGCTATCTGATTCTGGCTGATAGCTAGATAAAGCCAACTAAATTGGGAGTCAGAATTCCTCAGATACTTGTGCTTGAAGGAAGACCCCAAATTCTCTGGCAACTCTCCAAGGTTTATCAGCCTAAGGGACTAACTACAGGAATGAAGGGGACAGAAGGCCTACCAGAGTCAGTCCTTCATAGCAGTGCCTCTAGCCAGCTTATCCAGAGATCTGAGCCAAACCTGGACTGGAACTGTTCCAGATTCTAGTCTTCTGGAACTAACAGAAAACATAAAATGGACTACTGAGCATTACAACTACAGGTTACAT